TACTTCTCCCTTGAAGCATCCAAACCGGCCAAGCTTAGGGTGTTTTAAGCAAAGTTTTGATTAATTAAGTTGGACACAAAGGCTTCATTAAAAGCTAAGAGGGGATTGAGCAAAGGGCTATAAATACTAGCTCATTGGTGTAAGCACCCTTTTTCTCTCATTTGCTCATTCTTCTCTCATTTTCCTACAAACAAAAACCGGCCCTAACTCTCTCTCTTATGCTCTCTCTTTAATTTTTCTTCCACTCCCTTAAATACAAATACTAGCTTAAGATCAAGAAGGAGAATCAAAGTGTTCTAGGAGGAGTTTAACCAAGGATTTTCTTTCCTTAAGGGTATGAACTCTGAAACTTTTCTCTCTATTTTCCTTTCTAGCAAAGTTTAAGTTTGAGAATCGATTGATGTAATTTGTGATTCTCAAGGAAATAAGTTGTAATAAGGGTGTGTGAGTTTTAAGTTAGTTTTGTGAGTTTTGAGGTTAGTTTGATTAAGCATTATGTAGTATGTTTATACTTGGTTAAAGTTTGCTTATTTTGGGTTGGAGGAAAAATTTTTCGGTTACTTTGAACGTGAAAATGAGGACCCTAGAGCGAGATTTTTTAGTATTTCAATGCTTGAACTTATGGTTCTCAATGTTTTGAACATTTTTCTGTAACTGTGACAAAACCCAAGTTTAACTCTAAACGCAAGTTTTAAGCCATTTTGCAAAAACGGGACAGGCTGTCCAACACAGTTTCAGGAAAAGACTGCAGTCACTATTTTCAGCCAAACGAGGCCTTTAGAAGCTGAATTTCAGTTTTCTCTAAAAATGACAATTTTTGATCTTGACGAGAAGAAGAATTTTTGTGAAGAACAGATTTTCAAAATCCAAACCTAAGATGTAGAAAAACACAGATTTCAGAAACTGCACAGTTTTAACTAAACAAAACTAACACAATGTTAGTTTTTAACAAAAGGTCATCAAAGATCCCGAGATGTGATTTCAGTAAAATACTATGATTTTAGACCCCACTTGAACGAGAAATAGCCATGAAGAAAGATTTAAAAAAAGAATTTCTATAACATAGTTTCACGGTGGTTTACAAATTAACCATAAAATGACTGGTGGAATAGTTTCAAAAGTTGGTATTCGAAAAGAGATTTGATAATGGGATTTTAGTGCTTGAAACTAAATAAGTGAGTAATCGGTTTCATAAAAATCGAATGATAGTTTTTTTAAAAAGCTTAATAGTTTTCGAGCAAAACATCCTGACGGGCACTTACAAGCCCAATACGTTAGTTCCTCAGAATTACAAAGATTGGATGTGGGTCCAACGCCCGCATTAATTCAAGAGACACATATGAGTTTAAATTTCAGCGGCCTAAGGGTTAGAATGCCATGAATAAGTTTTAAGGCCGAATTGGGCCTTAACATCATAATAAGTCTAATGAGAAAAATTATGGAGAATAAGTTACTAGATTGGGTAATTGATTTTCAATCTAGACATAAGTATGTTAATGGCAATTAAGGAAAATAAGATTTTGAGGATTTAATAAATTGATCCTTATAGTAAATTATCCTTCAGTAAAGGAAAGGAATACATGCCTTAAGTAAATGGCTAGATTTCCTTCATAAGCTGCTAAAATAGAATAGCAAACGACATATAATCTTACACTCTCAATGAGTGTTCATTTTCAGAAGTAAGCAAGTAAGAGAATAGGCTGTTTGGCAAAAAGTGGATTCCAGCTCTGTAAATCAGGTAAGTAGGAATCTCGTACAGTATGAATATATTTTAAAGAAAAAGTTACACATGTTATATATGCATGTTTATGCTTTAAGTATTGTATGCGATGCTATGTCATGCTGCATACACATAAGCAGTGCACATGAATTATATGTGTTTGAGTTAATTTAATGTTACGTATGCTATGCTAGATCATATTGCATACACTTAAGCAGTGCACATGAATTATATGTGTTTGAGTACATTCCATGTTATAGTATGCTATGCTATGTCATATTGCATACACCTTAATAAGTCAAGAGGAACTTATAAGAAGAAACTCAGTTGAGTGCCGTACCAGCCTCCGCGAGGGAGGTAATCAGACTCTGTAAGGGAGATAATCAGACTCCGTAAGGGAGATAAAGGAACAAAAAAAGGGTCCTCCACAAGGGAGGCACTCATTTCAATTTAAATCACGGTGTCGTTGGGGACCTTGCAAACCCTAACGTCTCGATGATCGCGCAAGTGGTACGAGCACTCGGGCCCATCAGTAAGAAAGATAAGATAAGATAATAAGACTATGATAAGACATCATAATTAAGCATAATCAGCTCATGCATATTTATTCATGTGTACTTGTAGTTATTTTGCGAGAGACAGTTCCTACTTGCTGAGCGAAAGCTCAATCAGATATGTTCATGCTGTAGGTAAGAAACCTATCAGCAATTTTTGAAAGGCAATGGCGAGCGGCGGACGAATGGTAGAGATGGGAATGGATACCGCTCGCAAATATTTCCGTAATCTGTTTTACGTTATAAATAGTTTTGCTAATTATGATTCAAAAACTATATGTGAAATGATTTTGTGGATTATGATTGTTAGTAAGCAAACTTACGGAGTAAGTATATATATAGATATATATATATATATATAGATATATATATATATATATATATATATATATATATCCATATGCTTTGATAAACAGATATGTTAACATTTGAATATTTGATCAAGACAACAATTCATAACATATGTCGTATTAGTAAGTTTTTTTTTTTTTTTAAAAGAATGTTACAGCTCCTACAATATTTTAAAAAAGAATGCTACAACATTTTAAAATGCTGCAGCATTCTAAGTAACATTTAAAAAAAATGTTCCGCAAATTTTAAGAAATCCCAGTAAGTACAAGTTAACTTTAGTTACGGTGACGGCCTCATAGGAGGGTCGTCACAATGAGCCTTGAATGGACTGGCCCACTCAAGACCCATCTTGACCCATCATGGGTTTAGATGGGCTAGCCCATCTAAACATGCAATTTTTAATTTTTTTTATTCTTGAATTTTTAAATAAGTTAACAAATATATAAGGTTGAATAGTCAATGGAAATATGAAAATGACTATTTTATTTACGATTACCTCATTAAATAAAAACCTTTATAAGGATAACCCAGTAGGACAAAACATTGGTAAGGAAAGAAGAATACAATTAGGATAATTATACATAAGATGTTTACAAAATTACTGAAAAAAGAAAAAAAACATGAAAATATTACGGGCCTAGATGGGCTCAGCTGGGCCGGCCCATTATGGGCCTAGACGGGCCGGCCCAGCCCGGCTCAAGTCCGGCATGGCCCATGATTTTTCATGGGCCGTGCCGGGCCCGCCCATGGGCCAATATATGTTGGCCCAGCGCAGCCCAACAATATTTATGGGCTGGGCCGTGCCTTAAACAGTGACGGGCCGTGCCGGCCTGTCCAGTCACTGTGTCAGGATGGGCCTGGGCCCATTGTTGCATCTCTAAACCCCAAGAAACCCAAGGGTCCCGCTGCACATAGCTTTTCATCTACTCCCCTTCCGTTCAGTGACACATGTCCATACACTTGGGATTTTTCTTCCATTCCAAATCATTTCTACTGGTTTTCTTCCTCTACTTTATCAGCTTTAACTCACCAAATAAAGCCTTTTAAATTTCAATTAAATATGAAAACGTTTTTAGTTTTATTTTCTTTATTATTTTTGTTGTTGATTGTAACTTTTGGTATGGCCCAACAACTCTGTAGAAAATCCACTTAAATAGGAAAACGTTTTTAGTTTTCTCTTTAGAATTTTGTAGAAATTATGTGTAAGTTAGGCTAAAGTTCTTTGACGAGGTTAGAGAGGAACCTATATGTGAAGTGATCTTGAGTGGATTTTGATTCTCTATTTATTCTCCAAAGTTTTATACATTTAAGTGATTAATTTTCTTCTATCTTTGTCTAATTTCTCAAATTGATATATTTTGTCGTCAACTTTTATATAAATTTAGTTATGCTCTTTTTATGCAATTGTTGTTCAATATAATTATATCAATAGTACTGTTTTATGAATAGTCTTCTATTGCAATATTACCTCGAGGTATGTTGTCACTTTTAGATTTCTTGTAAGATAATTTTTCCTAATTCTTAACGTAAATATTTTACTCACTCAAATACATTTTAATTCACATGTTATTCATATATTTATTTTCCGATTGTTAGTTTGAGATGTGAAACTTTCAATTGAGTAATCTCAAAAATCAAAATCCATTCGGGTGAACCAAGCATATAGGGAAATCTCGACGCCTTACCGGTTTTAATTATATAGTTTTCTCATTTACTCCTCTTACGCTTAAACTTCTCAACAAAAATTTCATTTTATTTTATTTTTATTTTATTATTTATCTCATAACGTTTTTATTTGTTAATTGTTTCTTGTTCAATTTGTCTCCTCCTTGTGGATACGACCGCCCTAACTGTGCTATCGCGACCGCTTTATTTTTGACACGTTTGGGCATAATCAACAACCGGCTTAGCTACCTCTTAAGTACGCGAAGATAGGGGCCACACAAGCTAAAAAATAATATTTACATTCAGCTATAACTACTTATATTAAGAATCGAAACGGATAGACTTAACCTTTACCAAGAGCTGATGAACATTAAACTAGTCGTGGTAAAAAAGTCTCAAAACGTTTTCATAACTCTTAAATAGTTTACCTCTACCACACCACTTGGGAGTAAACCCAACACTACTACGCTACGACTTTGGTGGTCCACAAGGGCACTATTGGCTATTAGACTAGCATCTCATACTCGTTATTGAATAATCTCTCTAACTAAACAGCATAGTTATGTTGACAAGCAAATCCAAGTCCAACTATATAACAATAATACAAGCATACAAGGAACCAAAAAATATCTGGGAGTCATAATATTTCAATTTTTCAGAAAAGTACTCTAATTCACATGCCGTATGCACGTTTTATAAAAAGACAATGCACGACTAGAAAGCAAGAATGTGAGTCTAATAGCTTTCTAATCCACCAACTTCGGCATACCACTTGATGTCGATAAATTTTGTCCGACATCTCCATTGAAATACCTTAAATGTGACCTGTTGTGGATTGAACTCACTAGCGACAACAGAAGACAATGCCGCACCAGACGGGATGCTTACCATTTGAAGGCTTATTTATTCAATAGTATGCCAGAAAACTGAAAGTTTCAACTTGAAACTAACCTTTTAATCATGAGCCCAAACGACATCAGAGTTTCAGCGCATATTACAAATACACGATTGGTTCACTCTTAATTGTTGAAAATACAGATAATTACTTTAGAACCGAGGATAGAATTAACAAACAAATAAATAAACACAGCACAAATAAATAGCCTCCCTTGAATGTACATCTTTCTCAACGGTATTAAGTATCAAGACGACCTGTTTTCTGTACGACTCTGATTGAAGTTATTCCTGCAACATACGTCAATTTACCGGGACAACAAAAGTACTGCACAATAAATGAGAGCGAATTCTGTGTAAGCATAAAAAACTTGCTATGGCTTCCTCTATCAACAAATTGAGACCCTTGACAGAGTTCAATATTGCATAATCTGATTTGAGAGCTTCAGAATTACGCTTCAGATGGTTTTCAGTCCTCCAAATTTGTCTCTCCACAATCTGAAAATTCCTGATCCCAAGCTAGCAGGACTGTAGGCAGACAGCGTGAATTCAACTTTGAAATACCATTATGACATCAATTTTGTCCGACTCATCGAGTCACAAGCCAACCTGGTTTTACCAGGATATCTTGTTTAAAGTTGCGACCTGTAACTGAAGTGGAGTCACCCTGACGACGAAAACACTGCATAGGAAAGGACAGCTGTTGTCAAATTCTTGATTTGGAGAAAAAAAAAAGAGAGAGAAGAGTATCAACATAACAATGAAATGATATTTGACGGCCATTTTTTTCATTAAAGACAGCACATGAGACACCGGAAATTCACAAAGTCAGTGGCAGCATTGCTTGTAGTTTGCAGAAACTGCCTTGCTTTTATTCTATGATTTCAAGAGTACCAAACTACTATTTATCTTTATAGCTTCAAATAATGCTATACTCAAGGCCAGCAATGCAGACGGGGGAGAAAGTAATCCTTGAAATATGCAAATGCATTTCTTTCCTGTCCACCCTTTCAGGAAACCATAGGAGACAAATAAATTAGTACAAGCCTAAAACTTCTATTGTATATTTGAAATCCAAATAGGAAAACAATAAAAAAACTAACTGGAAAAAGAAAGACACAAGTTCCAACTAAATGATATAGTAACAGTACCAACCTTGTAACAGACGACAGTATCATCTGGGTACATTGCGAAGAGTTTTGTTCCTAGGCGTGCATGGCAAGAATCACAAAGAGTTTCATCATTGATCTGCACATGCCTCGATCTTTCCTCCAATCTTGCTAACCTTGCATCAGTGTCCAAAGCACGTGAAAGATTATGCACAATCTGAAACAGAGATCAACACATGGCTCACTTCAGAGGAAAAAACAGATAGGTAACGTCAAGGTGTGAATGATGCAACCCAACGATAAATAATTAAAACACTAAAATAGCTTGAACCAGAAGAATATATTTAGGTCAGTTACAGCAAATTGGCTTCAAGGAAATAGGAGCGTTGATTAGGGAAGAATCACATTTCTGTGAACTTAACTAAAAGAAAGAATTTACCTGCCCTTGACGATAATGATGAAGTCGAGCTCTTAACATTCTTAATAGTGTTTCAGAGGCAAGTTGAAGGGGCATATCTGAGGACAATCTCTGCAACATAAAAATAAAGTCTTGTTGAGATTTGATGATGATTTCAGAAGCCCTCATCACAGGTAAGAGAGAGGTCTTATACCTCCAACACCTGTAAAGGATCCAACGATTCTCCATGATTGTGGAGGAGGCGAACAGCAGCCTTAAACATAGGCTCCTTACCATCTTGTGGATTTAAATACATATCAAGTAACCTGAGGTTATTGTCATGCTGATAAGAATGTGAGGGAAAAAATATAGACAATGTATATGCTGAAAAATCACAACAGATTTTAAAAATTCATTTCCTCCACGTAGGTGGTGACTGCATAATCATGTGCGTGCATGTGTGGAAAGGAGAGAAAAACACACTGCATATAGGCATCTGGTCTCCCAATCTCAGCACAATATTGTTCAGCAGCTTCACTGTGTTCCAGCTTCCTGAAACGCAATAGCAATTGTTTTTTTCTTTTTTTAATTAAACACAAACTAGGTACTCTTATTAATGGTTGAAATGATTGCGTACACAAAGGGCGGGTAAGTTATCCTCCAAAAAAAAAAAAAAAAGACACAAGACAATAACAAAAAAGTAGCTAATCTCTAACAATTAGAATCCTTTTCAAATACAGTAAATGATTCATTTAGGAAGCAATTTTATAAGGTAAATTTAACGTAAATATGATTTGTAAATGAATTACTCACCGTAAATATGCTATTTCCCATAGATATTAAAAAAAAAAAATGCTATTTAGCTCTTTCTCCCTTGTAATAGCAAATTAACTTTACATATCTAAAAAGTGTACCATCGTAATAATCAACTAACTTTTTCTTCTATTTTACAAAATGTAGACCTAAATTGCGTAATGAGGTATTGTAAATTTGTAATATAAGTTCATGACATCTTCCACCAGCGGATATCGCTGTTTTCTTATTGGATGACTATAGAGGAGTTCCAACGACTTGATCCAGATCACTCCAAGAGATCTACACCATCACTCGTCAGAGTCAAGCTCTTAATGACCTCAGGAGAATTGAGATTCTAATCCTAGATTACACCTACATTGAGCATAAATATAGGATTTATAGTTATTTTCAAAATATTTCATGTTTATCTATTAGGATTATTTTAGATTTATTTGACTTTGATTATTATTAGGTCATATGCATCTATAAAATAGACCTAGTGTTTTTTATTCTTTCCCTTCAGACCTTGATGTAATATTTTTTTTTATACCCAGAAATACCTTGATGAATATTATTAAAATACATAAAATTTCCTCTTTATTGTTCTCTCCTCTCTAAATGCTTCCTCTTCCCTCAATTTTCGTCTTCTTCTCTATTTCATTCTCTATCTTTCTTTAATCTATCTTGGTCCTACATCAACAACATTTTTTTTTCCTCGATAAGAAAAACCTTTTCATTGATAGGATGAGATATCCGGACAAAAAGAACAAATAAAAAGAGAGAGAGAGAGAACTCCAAGAGAGATGATGCATTATCTCCCTATAACGTCCAACCAATTTAGAAATCAAAGAAAAACGAATATCCTTGAATTCCTTGTCAGTTGAGGTCCAAGGTGAAGCTAAGAATAGCTTTTTCAAAAACGCCTATCACATCCTCTAAAATTTCCCTATAACGTCCTACATCAACAAGATGATCAACTTAATGATCAAAACTTTCATATACTTGCTAATTCTATAAATATTTCCATTTGTGATACAAATTCTAAGAAAGATGATTCACTATCCAAACCAAAAAATCTCTTCAAAATGCAGCAAACCAAATAATTTTAAAATATTTGTAGGCTAAAGTTAGCAATTAAAAATGCAATACAAGAGTAATAAATCCATACGCACACGGATACAATTAAAGTAACACTAGTTAAACGTCTGTCACAACCTGGATTTATCAATAGTTCTCTCAGAACCAAAATATTAAGGTGGTATTTCACATTAATATTGACAACAGTGTATTAATTACAATCCAATCATGGATAAATGAATCTATTTATCTGTGACCAATAGATTTGAATTCAAATAAAGGGTTCATTTGATTTACTGTGAATCTGTGATAGAAGTGTAAGTAACAGAAACTTACAAGGCCAAAATTTGAAGCACCAATGACTCTTGGCCTAGCTTTCTGTAAAGAATAGCCTGTTTGGTAGAGCAAGAATATGTGATTAGCAGTTCACAATAAATAAGAGTTCGGCCTTAGGTAGTGCAATCATTGATGGTCCCCAATCAGTAGAAAGAGATTGATGAAAATATTGAGGTCTCCAGGATCTCAAGACATTGAATCAGCCAAAGCAAAAAAAAGAAGAATAATTCAAGACACTAAACAAGGTTATCAAAGAGTTATGGCGAACCTTTTCCAACCACAGCTCCGATCCTTCAATCAAATCAAGAATCTCCTCTGGATCATACATATCTGAAAACTGTAAAAACATCTGCAGTCTTTCACGAACAGAAGTTTGATAAATTAAATTTCCTGCAGGATCAGAAGAAGTTGCTCTTCCATCTATCTTTCCAGTGCCAGGGTTTTGAGAATTAGTTTCTTCTTCAAAGGCTTCAATAGTTGATTTGGCGAGTGAAAGAGCGTATATGGTATGGAATCGAGTATCACTAAAATCTTGCTCTTCAATTAACCACTGAAGATACCTGCGGTGAAGATAAAGATCTAAGTTCTAAATCCATTCCATGAAGGTTCCCATGGGAAAGAAACTTTTTTATTTTTCACTGTAACCTTTTTTCTTTTTCCTTTACAAGTATCCTTAAGGAAAGATTTTTTTTTTTAAAGAAAAACTACCATAAAAGGCACATGCCCATAAATCTCACAAGAAAAACTTTTCTGCTTTGTTTATTTCACACAAGAGCATGATATATTCATTCCCCATAGCAACGTGCGTCTGCATATCATAAATGGAAAGAAAATTTTCCTCCAGTTCTGTTTACGTACCAAAATAAAGAATGCAATTCCAATTCCTGAAAAGTATACAATTGAATCAAATGCTCCCCACTTCCCTTTTCCTCTTCATTTCTTTCCAAACCCTTTCCCTTCCGATTAAAATCTATTACAAATAAGTATACGTGCCCTAAATTCATTTCAAAACCCTTGATGCCTCAAGTAATATTGATTAGCATCCCATTAATTATTCAACTACCGCAAAAAGGAGATGCAATATCAAGTCATTATTCCCTACAATACCAACAACCTAACATATGGGGATTCGAGATTGACAACCAATCACAGATGAAGAGCCTGGAATAAAGAGTTTCATTCATTGGCCAAATCATTGGGAAAAATTTGTAGGACCACGATGTGGTTTCAAAAGGTCACTTCTCCACATTCAATGTCATGATGAACAGACTGATATTAAAAGTCCTGTTACATCAACTAAAGGCAACAGCACAATGACCTTAACTCCAGGAGCTGTGGCCACATAAGTAACACAACTTTCTTTCTCTAGCAAAAATCCTACCTGTGCATGTATGTGTATAAATCCGGAATGAACATACCTTTGAAATATTTCTATCTTGGATGGATCAATAGCTGCAATAACTTCATCTGCAATAAGTATCAAAAGCATTAAGAGTTTGAACATTTTCCGCTATCCCTAATTTTGTTAAGTTAAAGGGATATTTTGTTTCCTTTTTGGGAGTCTGAGTAGTTTTTCTGTGTCTTTTTTGTTGTTGACTTTTTCCCTTTTCTTTTCTGGAGGATTTCTCACCTTCCTCACCTTTATTGATTAATTTTTGTCAATAAAGGTTCTCAGTTTATGATAAAAAAAATAAATATGAAGAACGATACCCAAAAAAATATAATAAAAAAATCTTGAAAAAAACCAATGATTTTCCATTTCTTTTTTAAAAAAAAAAAAAAAAAAACCCAAATATTATCAATTTTCAGCTGAATGTCATGCAAGTGGCAAACAATCAGGTCCATAGAAACAGTTGGGAGACTAGAAAGATCATTATTATTTTTTGAGGCTCATGCCTTAAGGCTCATTTCAAAGGGATTATAGGTGAAAAATGCTAAGGGATGACCTTACAGCACATACATCAAGGGGGTAAGACACTAATAGGGACAAACCCTAAAGTACACTCTGAGATGAAGTCTCCAACATGCTACATGATGGTACAGTCCCAAAGACAACTATTATAGACAAGAGAGGAGGAAGTAACATAAGATACTGAAAAAGATAAACCTTTTTTGAGTCTATTAACTTTGGGTAAAGACATACTTTCCAGTCACCAACATATCCCAAATTTAGTTTTCAAAACAAAAAAAAAAGTTCCAAGATTTAGTAAAGCCCTAGACTAAAAGTCATCTTTTTCTTTAAAAAACCATTATCTCCATATGTTTCAAGTTTTGAAAAAAAAAAGGGATACTAACTAAACAATTACTCAATGCCATCGAAACCAACAAAAAACAAAGAAATTAAAAAAAAAAAAAAAGAAAAAGAAAAAGAGAGACATGTGCAATAAACTGAGTGCCATAGGAAAAATTAGACAACTAGTGCCCAACACATACAAGATATAGAACAATAACTATAAAGTTCACAAGATATTAACCAAAAAAAAAAAAAAGGAATAGATGGAAACCAAAATTTGTGGAAAGCCAAATCCACCATTGAGACATTATGAACTTAAAAATGCAGTAGGCACCCAAAAGATAAGAGTATGGTTGAAGAGAATGAACACAATAACAATAATTAAAAAAAAAAAAAAGAGAGGAGGTCATGACTCGTGAGTAATCTTCGAGAATGATGTCCCACCTGGAGCAAGCTGCTTTGCTCTTTTTTCTGATGTTAAAATCTGAACCGCAAAAACCTGGTTGATATCTGCAATCTAATGTGACAAAACAAGCACCCGGTTAACTCTTTAGTATGTGAATCATTAAACCACCTCCTTGTTGATTCAAACGACACATGAACAAGCCAAGAGAGAGATAGAAGAAGAAGAAGTTCAGAAAATGTACCCATCCAAGATGTTGTAGGACAAGCTCTTCATCAGATGACTCCTCAAGAATCTTGGATGCCTCAGCTGCAGCAGTTTCCTTCCCAGAGAGAATATGGGTGCTGGTATCCCCAAAATCACACTCAAAAGCAGCATCTTTCCATAGACCAGAAGAATAATTTCTAGCTAGAATGCGCCAAATAGCAAGCGCCTTTGAGTTCATTCCTCTACTTGCATATAGAAAAGCAAGTGTTCGTAAGTGTCCAGAGTCATCTAACAGAGTTTCCAACTCCTCCTGCACTGCCCAGGTAAGTTGTACAGTCACCCTTCAAGCAGGCTCCAGATAATGGTCTCTGTTTTGCAATGCACTGGAATACTAAGATTCCCCAGTTTACTGACATCCTCTTAAAGTGCATTTTGTTTGAGGCCTTTAAGTTATATCATTCTAGACCCACAGCCAAAAATAGACCAAATATTTCTGAATCTGGAAAGTTATTATGTTAGCTCATAATTTCTAACAGTATCCATGTTCCTCTCCTGTTGGATGAAATCCCCATACTTTCATTTACTATCATTCTTTGATGGAGATGGACAGTGGCGGAGCAAGAAAAAATTTTCAGGGGGGGCGGGATTAAAGTCAAAGTTTTGCACTTAAACTATAATGCTATGTTTGGTAGGAAGGAAAGAAAATATGATAGAAAGGAAATATGGAAGTGATGGAAAATAGCAATGATGGAAAAGAAATTAATTTTCTTTTATGTTGTTTGGTATGAGAAGATAGAAAGAAAATGAGCTTACCTTCACTTGTTTGGTATTGGAAGTTAAATTGGGAGGAAAGAAAAAATCTTACTCGTAAATTACTTTTATACCCTTAAATTTTTTGCTTGGATGTTGATGGAGAAAATGGTAGTTTAGTAACTTTGCTCACTTTAATGAGTTGTCTCCATTTTCCATCACATTTTCTGCCCACTTGTGGAAAGAAAAAAAATGGTGGAGCCCACATGTATTATTTTCCACTCAATTTTCTCTTCCTTTCTCTTTTCTCTCCTACCAAACAACATACATTTTCATTTTCCCTCCCAAAATCCATCCATCTTCTTCCTTCCTTCTACTTTTCTTTCCTACCAAACATACACTAAGTGCAACTATTTTTTCTCTTTAATTATCTTCTTCTATATATTTGTATTTTTTATTTCTTTTTTTAAATGACTCACGATTGTAATCGAGTTTAATTCACTTTTTTAAGTGCAATATCTACAAAATTATAAATTTATGTAGCAGTAGAGTTGATTTTTTTATTTGGAATTTTAATTTCAATTATGAGTATGTTTAAAAGTCAAATTTTAAGGTATAATTGAAGCATTTTGAATAAATTATAAAATATGAGTAAACTTAAAAGTTAAAATTTCAAGGATAATAGCAACTTTTTAGACAAAATCTGTAAAAATGCAATTTAAAAACTTTGAGAAGGGGCAAATCATATATAAATATATAAGAAAATATTTTTTCGGGCCAAATTTCAAAGGAGCCCTTGGGCCCGGGGGGGGGCAGCTGCCCTCCGGGGGCCTAAGGTAGCTCCGCCCTGGAGACGGACAATGTAAAGATGTTAGCAGGTGGAATGAACATAGTTTCATCACAAACCTCGACAATACAGGAAGATTATACTATAGCCCATTCTTTAGAGTTCATCTTACTTTAAAAAGTCTCCCATAGAAATCTTACTTTTTAATTCTGATTTCTTTAGATTCCTATACAAACAGAACTGTGAAGGTATAAAATCTTTACAGACTGCATCAACAACCAAGCATTTTTTTTTTTTTTTTTTGGGTGTAATTACCTTGCAGTGGACTCACTAAACTCAGAAATCTTAAAGCCTTTCTCAAGGTACAATAATAATCTCCAGATCTCTCCAGTCAACAACATTTATGATGAATTTCTGAAAACTCTTCTTTTTTTTTTTTTCCCTGCTTCCTCTAATAGGAAAAGTATGAACTAACATTTCAATTCGCATTCATTCCAGATTTGCTCGTAGTCTTACCCTTTATGTTTTCAATGCATGTAAAGATGAGTTCTCTAACTTAAAATCCATAAAACAGAAGATCTGAAGATGTAACCAATTTCAACCAATTTCAGGTTGAAACCTGTCTAAATGCAAAAGACTGCAGATGTACATACCTACTAAGACCAATTAAAGGAAGGCAAACAACAGGGTAAAACAAAAGGCAGGAAATAACATACCACAATACAGGAGTTTGCAGAAGATGCCAACTTCTCCATGTCATCAACACGATTTAAAGCTCTATAGAGGTACATCAGTAGTGTATCAACTCCCTCCTCAACTGACAGATTCAAATCCTTCTCACGAGAAACCTCCAAATACCTACAGACCATGTGAATAACATGTCGTTCAGGCATGCGCAAAGAAAGGTGTCATGACCAACACAGAACAAAGTTATTATAATAATCAAATGAAAAAGAAAATACGTAAGTCATTAACCAAATTGGAAGAGTAGACGGCCCTATTTCCCTGATCCACCGATCTCAATAAATAAAGAAAAGGAACTGCGGTAGTAAAAATAACAATAACAACAACAACAACAACAACAATAAGCATAATAATAACAATAACAATAACAATAACAATAATAATAATAATTATTATTATTATAATTATAATAATAATAATAATTATAACTATAATGATGATGATGATGATGATCAAATAAGCAAAAGAAATGTAGGGACCTAATAATCGACTTGATAGCAGACTCCAATAAATCAGCTCGACTTGGGGGCTTTAAAAGGAAATCATCATCAACTTGCGTATCCACTCCTGCTTTTCTAAGAAAGATAGCCCGTTGGATGGCCATTAACCCTTCATCTACAACATCTTCAAGAGGTACAGGGGGTGGATGCAAACCCCAATATCGGTTTCTAGGAACCTTAAAAATATAAATATAAGTACAATTTACATAAAAAAATATAATACATTTATGGAAATTTAAGTGCTATGACCAGAAATTTAGAGGATGATAGTAAAACTAGAACATCATAAGTCAGCAAATTACCAATCGTAAGAGGGATGGAAAAAAGATAGGAAAGAGAAGCGAAATACCAAGGTGAAAAAAATAAAAAGCAGGGATTTTTCTTTTGTACTATTTGGAAGAAAAGAAAGAAAAGAGGAAAGAAAATGTCTAAGCTTTTTCTTTTTTTTTTTCTAAAGAAGAAAAACTCCTTTCATCACCATACCCTGATACAAAATAAGAAAATGAGGTGTGATTAGGGTAAGAAAACAGTTATTAGGTACACTATTTGTTTTGTCAAATATTTTCTCCTCTTTTCTTTCCAAAGTTAATAGGATTAACAGTGTAGCCCCTAAAAACTCCTTTAATAACTGCCCAATTTCCTCTAATAAGAAATCCAATATTCCATTTACTCAAAAAAACTCCCTTATCCAATTTCTTTCCTCTCCCTTTTCCACCCTACCAAACATAGGGTAAAACTTCATTTGTTAATGCTTTACGGATAAACTTACTAGAAAAAGGCCTAGTATATTAAACTGTGTATTCAAGGAAATTATAAATATATGCATGCATGCGTATATATGCACTATTGGTGTATTTACTTGCTGCTGACAGAGGAGCGGAACGTACAACTATTCAGCTCAGATAAGATTCAAGAATAAAACAAATACAGATTCGTGAGATGTTACACTTATGTGTGAAATTTGGCACTCTTCCCCCAAAAAGAGAAAGTGAGAGAGCGCTCACAAATTAACAAGGCGCCCTTCCCCTGTCTTCATCCAGAACCAGGAAAACATCTTTTTTCTTTATTTTTTTTCCCTAATAAGAAACTTCCTTTCATTGATAATAAAATCAATAACAAAGGAAGAAACCTCCTTTCTTTGATGATAAAATACATACTAATTTCAAACGAAATATTCTGCAAAAGTCGCACTAAGTTATAAAGAAACAAGAGCAAAGAAAGTCAAGCCCTTTGATCCATTGTTCCCTTAAATCAGCTGTGCATTTCAGCCTTATGTTAATCTTCAACTAAGAACTTTGATAAGGTTTGAACGGTTATGATAACACATTTCAAGTGTTCAAAATGACCCTACAGATAATGTAAAAATCTCCATTTTACATTTTTTCCCTTCTCTTTTCCTTCTTTTAGATAAAGAGAGAAAAATGACAAGAGAGGTTCTCTTAATCTAACAAAAATACGATGAAAATGAGAGAGAGAGAGAGAAAGGGAGAGAGAGAGAGAGAGAGAGAAAGAGAGAGAGAGAGAGCAGCATTATGGACATAAAATGATATACCAGTAGTGACCATCTATTTGGATCTCGCATTACAAAGGGAAATATTTCAGAAGGCTGCATGGTCTCAGACTGCAGAAAATGATTTACTGCTTCCTCAAAATGCAAGCCAAAGAGTAGGAGAAACCCCGCTTGAGCATGTATAAAGGAGAGCACGTCCTTTGTCATTTCGCCTTCACACTCAAGCTCCTCAGCTAAGGATATGGCTTCCTTGAAGTTCTTTTTTCTCAGAAGGTCTTTAATTTGTTCTTCAGGAGTTAATTTCTGATAGCAAATAACCTAGAAATTTGCAATCACAAAAGCAATATCTTAAAAACTGCTAATAACAAATACAAAGATGTGCATAAACAGCCCAACTAAAACATATGATTTCATAGTTTTGGAGCTAAAAGATAGATGGATATATTACAAGTCTACAAAAGCACAGAATTTCCAAGTCTCAATAAACTTCACACTCGTGATTTGATGCCGCGCTGAAGCCCTTATCTTTCAATCTCTCCAGGCTGGTGCATTTTATGTGAGTAGCGAGTCATTGAACCATTTATTTTTACATTGTTCTTTTGCTAACCAGATTTGGTCTTTGCTGTTGAAGGAGTTTGGGTTTTTATGGGCAATGCCTAGGTTCTATGCAGAGCTGCTTGAGCTCCCCTCCATCTAGTCTCAGTTGCAGGGGCCAAAGTTTTGTGGAGAGTAGCTACCTTAGCTATTTTTTGGAGCATCTGGCTTAAAAGGAATCACATAATTTTCGAAGACCGCAGGGAAGATGATTTTGTTATGGGATAAAGTGAAGTATTGTGTCTCGTCATGGGTATATAGAGATAAAGAATTTGGAAGTCCGATTTCTCGGATTTTGTTAGGAGCTGGGCACCGTTTCTACAGTCAATTTTGTAATTTTGGTCTCTGATAGTTTTTCTTTCTTGCTCTTTCTTGCTGGGCTTGATTTTGTCAAGGGATTCTCTTCCTCTCGCCCCAGGCATATTCTTTTTACTTCATTAAGAAAAGCTTCAGTTTCTTTTCAAATACATAAAAAAAAAAAAAAAAAAAAAAAAAAAAAGCTCTTCTGAAATGGAGGTTCTACCCAAACACATGCGTTTCATGTAAAATTTCTGTAACATTTACTTCCACACCCACTCATTGAAGCTATCTGCTAGCACATTAGACAAAAAGCAAATCAACAGTCTCCCAGACACAGTATTCCTTCTTGCTACCCACAAACCATGTTCTTCAAAAAATCAAACCAAAGAAATCATAAATCAACAGGTATGATCGAAATACTAGGAGTGGCATCAGAACCACCATTGTCACTGCCATGTTAGACCAAGTTTTAGAATACTAGAATGGCAGGTAAGGACTTGAGTATCCAAACAATTAATCAAAATCTTTTCTTGGCATTGCAAAAGTTATGAAAAGATTGTTTCGAATAATCTTATTAAAAATTCAACATAATCATTATAGTCAGCATAAAATGAAATGAAATAATAAAATAAAATAAAAAACTCTCATCGTGCTCACTTGTGACTAAGTCCTAGGCATTAAACACAAGATAATTGTCTTTAGAAACTTGCCTCCATCTTCATTAAAAGAAAGAAATCTTAAAGGGATGATAAGGAGACTCTGGCAAGTAATCCATAAAAAGTATCCAAGCTTTTTTCTCCTGCTAAAGGTATCCAATTTTTATAAATGTATGGCACTCATCATTCAGCTTGCGCTTAGCAATAATTTGAGAATCAATAAATCATAATACAAACAGCACAGAGATGTAACTGAAATTAATGTTATGTGCATGTGATGCAGTATAATGAAATACAAACCACACTGTTTAATAGACTTTCTTACAAACCTTGCCGGGAGTAGCAACAACAACAAGTTTCCTATTTCCATCTTCCCCATCTGCAACAATGCAAGGACCCCCGACAGCTTCGCCACCAAAAGCAACCGTTTGAACGCAAGTAGCCGATTTCTTATGATATAGATCCATCTTACCGTCCCTTACAACCACAACATATAACGATATCTCCCCAATAGAATCCAGTCCGTGGCGGAAAACAATGCTCCCAGCAACAGGTTGCCCATGTGCATTAACTATAACCCCAACATTGTCCACCAACAAAAGCACATTCCATTCTCTAGACAACAATTTAAGCCTGGGCGGATGAGATACATCCGGCAAAGAAAATATCACGCCGATTTGTCCCGTTAAACATGAAATCAAACTATACCCAGCAGCCGTACCAACAATGACAGAATCATTAAGCCACACCATTGACATAATCCCATCAACGCACTGAATTTCTTTAAGAATTACATAAGAAACATTTAAACCATCGGAAACTTGGTCATTTCTACCCACTCTACTATTACTACCCAAAACAATCTCTATCAAAATCAATCTTTTACCAATAACAACAGCAAAAACATGACTACCTTCATGATGCTGCTCTGGCTCCTTAATCTTCAATCCGTTCGCCCTGATCCCGCCGCCCAATTTCTGCAAAAACCTCTGACTCGTCTTACTCGAAGAACTCTCAGTCGAATTCCCAACACTTTCTGACAAATCCGAACTCTCCGCTTCGCTACTTCTCAACCGCCTCGTGAACACCGTAACCCCTTTCAAGAAGCTCAATCTCTTCAATGGCTGCGACAACATCAAATCCCCCAAGAACAAAAACCCTCCAGACAACACCAAAACCTTCCCGATTCCTCCAAACACCTGCAGGGACTCCACCGGAGAATCGCCGACCGAAATGGTTCGCAGAAGCGAGAGGTTGGAGTCCGAAGCATCGAAATTGTCAGGGTTTGTGGAGAGCAAAAGGAGAGTTCCAGATTGGGTTCCGAGGTAAATTAGGGTTTGGGAATCGGAGACGGAGAAGAGAGCGAGGGATCGGAAGGGAGTGAGAGTGCTAGGGTGGTCGGAGAAGTCGGAATGGGCGAGCGGTTCGAGGACCGTGCAAGTCCTCGAGTAAGGTTTGGCCTCCATGAGAGAGACAGAAGCCAAAGCGCCCAACTTTTCCGGCGAGAGAGATGAAGAGTGATGAGTGAAGACGTTAGTTGACGCGTTCAACTTCAAGCTTCTCCTCGTGTTTCAAGCTCCTTGCAGTCTCCGTTTGCCTTTTTCGGAAAATTAACGCCTTTTCCGATTAATCGATTTAAATTTTTAATTAAAATTAATATGTGTAATTTATATAAATATTTTTAATTATAATAAAAGAATTAAATACGACTCTTTTAAAAAAAACTTAAATTAATCATTCTTTTAAGTAATTAAGACTTAAGGTGAAAATTTTAAATAGATAACTAATTCTTTTAATGAAACTTTTGTCTTTTCTCAAATGCCCTTATCATTTATCACAAAAATAAATAATTAAAATATCACAAAAGAAAACTCTCCAAAACAAATCTCCTCTCATCTAAAGGCAACCGCGTCATCCAAAGGCAATCGCGTCGTCCAAAGGTAGCCGCCGGTGCCGCCCTTCACCGCTCGAGACGCCCCCTGCCAACGTCCATCATCACCTGCATCCATTTTCGTTCACACTCCGGTGTTGTTTTTGGCAGTAAAGAGAACAAGCTCTAAGCTTAGCATTTGTCTCGAATCCTCTCTCTTTTTTTTTTTTTTTTTCTTAAATCGTTGTTTAAATGTTGGGTATTCGTACTTAGGTGTTTTATTTGAAAAACCAACAATATTCATGTTATTTGGTTGCCTCTTTCGAATTGTGAAATCTAAAAAATCGAAGAAATCAATGACAAGTCGAGCATACCGTTCTTACCGGTGTGACCGGTAAGAAAATTTCAAACCGGTCAGAACAATAGTTCCAGTAAGAACGATCTGATGAGTCAGACTTTTCTTACCGGTGTGACCGGTAAAAAAATTTGAAACCGGTCGGAACGATTTTCCAATAAGAAAGATCTGATCGGTTAGAATTTTTCTGGAAGAGTATATAATACTCACTGTAATTTTTTAGATTTTGTAGCTTTCTTCCATTATTATATTTCATTTTCAAGTTTTATAATATTAGTATTATTTCTTTTTATAGGAAATTATTGTAATTGTCATATATTTTTGATATGATAGAGAGTGGAAGAAAACAAGTGATGGATCGTATGGATTAGTTTCGAAGAATGAGGAAATAAAGAACATATTATTATTTAATGATCCATTGAAAGTGAAATTTTCTAAGGTTGTTGAAAGCATATTTGAAAGGCGTCATGTGAGTCGAAGTAGTACAGATTTGAAACTAAGTTACATTTCTTTGTCATCGTCAACTTCAGGCCCTAAATTAATCTTAGATGATTTTGACACCACTTGTTATCTTTGTGACCATTGTGCCATATTACAATGTAGAAGCATGCTACATGTGGAGCTCATTAAAAAAGACGAATGTGGTGAAGGAAATGTGAAAGAGGGACTCGAAGTTGAAGAAAACGAAGAATGCAACAAAGAAAATGATGGAATCATTCGAGACAAGTATTTCGACGTTAACATGGAAGCATCAGAGCTTTATGATGCTGGTTCAGCACCAGGTTGTGAGGGTGATCGTATAGACAAGCCTACACTTAAGGAGCACCCTCGCCGAGAAACATCAGCATCTGCCCCAACTCCGGATCAAGAGATTCTGTATCTAGATATGGTTGAGGTGGATCACTGTGAACCGCTAGTTGTCGACGACACTTGTATGTCTTATAGCTTTGATGACAGTATGAGAATTGCAATCGGTCAAGAATTTGCGAGCAAGACTGAGGTGAAGAATTTGTTGATCAATGCTTCGTTGAAAGCTTATTTTGATTATAACATTGTCAAGTCGACAACGAAATTGTTTGTCGCAAAATGTGTAGTGTCAGATTGTAAGTGGGCACTGCGAGCAGTGAGGATCAATAACTTGGATCGTTTCTCCCTACGAACATACTACAACATCCGTACTTGTTCTTCTAGTTTGGTTGATAAAAAGATCCGACAAGCGACTTCAGAGTTAGTTACATATATGTTAAGGAAAAGGTTTCCAAGCCAAATTGACACGCCAACCCCAATTAAAGTGATGAACATGATGGAAAACCATGGTGTTACAATAAGCTACTTCAAAGCATGGAAGGGCAAACATATCACCGTAAATGATATTAGGGGTGCATCGGAGCTCAGCTTTGGTATGCTTCCTAATTATTTGCACATGCTGAAGGTAATAAATCCCGGCACAGTCACACATTTGGTGGTTGAAAGAGATGAAAAGTTTAAGTACATTTTCATTGCGTTGGGGGCATCTATTAAGGGTTTCAAGGCAATGATGAAGGTAATTGCAGTTGATGGAACTTTTTTAAAGATTGAATATAAGGGAACATTGATTATAGCCACCGCCCAAGACGACAACTACCATCAGTATCCTCTTGCTTAGGCCGTGGTTGACTTGGAGAATAATGAATCGTGGAAATGGTTCATGACAAAACTTGAGGAGCTCATACTCGACGACAAGGAGTTGTTCATCATTTTAGATAGACATCAAAGCATCATCAACACAGTCGACGATGTTTACAAGAACTCACAACATGGATTTTGTGCACGTCACCTTTCATAAAACATCAAAACACAAGTTAACCGAGGATCTCGTGTTAGGGGAAGCAAGAAAAATGGTAAGGATGCCGTTGTAACAAAGTTCATGAATGTCGATGCGGCATATACTGCCTGAGTTCAACAAGCTTTATAATGACCTAAAGAATAGGTATCCTGCTGCTGTTGAGTATCTTGAAGACAATGTCGATGTTAGAAAATGGGCTAGGTGTTACTTCACAAGTTCTCGCTGCTGGTTCCCGAATCGAATTTGGGTGCGGAAGCGTGGGGATGAAAAACAGCGGATCGTGTATAATAAAAATTTTCATAAAACTTTTGAGATACTCTATAGATTATATTAATTTATGCATGAATAAATTAATCACATTAATTTACATCATTCAAGGATCAACCGAAAAATACCTGGAAGCCGACTCGGATGATAACTTGAATTTCTTTGACCACGAACAGTCCTTGCTCCAAGCTTTGTGTTTAGAATACCAAAGTCTTCCACGTCAATTCCTTGATTCCACGTAGACGTGTGTGTGGGCACACATGAGACAAAATAGGTTTCTTAAACACTCGAATTTCCACAAACACCAACGCATGCACGATTTGGAATTTTTGGAGAAAAATATTTTGTTCTCTTTTTCCTCTATGAGAATTTCGGCCACACTCAATTAGGGCTGAATAATGTGTCAAAAATTGTCTTTACAATTTTTTATCTTTCTCATATTTAAAGAGAAGAAGTCAAACTTCAAAATAGAATCAAATCCTTATCTCCAATTTTGAATTGGGAACAAAAAATTCCTTCCCCTTATCCACTTGGTGGCCGGCCACACTCTAAGGTTTTATCCCTGTGTGTGGCGCCTATCTCAGATAGGGAAGGAAGAGATTTTATCCTTTATCCAGTAGTCCAATTTTAATTTAGATTAAAATTTGAATTTAAGTCAAACTTAAATTAATTTGAATTCTAAATTGAACAACTTATCAAATAAGTTTAAATGGATAAATCTACATATGTTCAAATTCAAATTTAAATAATCACATTATTTAAATAATAATAATTAATTCTCAATTAATTATTTTTCGA